ACAACATGAACCTTATCGAAACTCTCGCAAAGCTTGAGGAAATTGCCGCTCACTTGAAATCAGAATTTGAAATGAAAGATCTTGGGAAAACTCGATATTGTCTTGGCCTAGAGATCGAGTATTGTTCGGATGGAATCCTATTATATAAATCAAACTACACCCAGAAAGTGTTGCAACATTTTACTAAGGATAAAGCAAATCCTTCGAGTACTCCTATAGTCGTTCGAACTCTAGATGCTAAACGAGATCATTTCCGTCCAAATGAGGATGATGAAGAGATTTTGGAGCCTGAAGTTCTATACCTAAGTGCTATTGGTACTTTATTGTACTTGGCTCAATGCACTAGACCCTACATCTCCTTCTCTGTTAATCTTTTGGCTAGATACAGCAATGCACCTACACGCAGACACTAGAATGGTGTTAAAGACATTTTCCGCTACCTCAAGGGTACGATGGATTTGGGCTTATTCTACACCCACGAATCCTCCAGAAGAGTCACCGCCCCCTCGGTCCTGGAGTTAATTCTCGCCTCATTGGTTACGCAGATGTTGATTATCTATCTAACCCATATAGGGCACGTTCTCAAATAGGCTATGTATTTACCATTGAAGATACCGCTATATCTTGGAGGTCTACTAAGCAAACGCTAGTTATGACTTTTTCGAACCATGATGAGATTCTTGCCCTGCATAAAGCCTCGCAAGAGTGCTTTTGATTGAGAGTAGTTATGGAACATATTCGAAGCACTAGTGGTATTTCTTCTGTCGTTGACCTTCCTACTACGATCTTTGAAGACAATGCAGCATGTATTGAGCAGTTAAATAAGGGATACATCAAGGAAGACAACACCACGCATATAGCACGAAAGTTCTTTTATTCTCACCAGCAACAACAACATCAAAACATTGAAGTCAAGCAAATCTCTTCACCAAGTCATTGCCCAAGTCTACTTTTCAGATGCTCATCCAAGGAATCGGTATGCATAAATTATCTAAGTTGAATTGCTTATAGTTCTCTTATTTGGAAGTTATGTCTAACTCAGGAGAAATATCCTGAAGCAACTCACTTGATCTTAATGTACTCTTTTTCCTACTATTAGGAGCATTTTTCCCACTGGGTTTTTGCTACATAACGAGGTTTTGATGAGGCACCCATCCTAGGATGATCATACTCTGCTGAGTTCACTACTTTCGTATTGTTTGACGTTTGTTTAAGACATTATGCATACTTCTCACTTTTCTCCTTAGTCTATGGGTTTTCCACATGCCTTGGGTTTTACCATAACGAGGTTTTGTGAGTTTTACTACACCAATGCATACTTACTTTCTTACATCTTAGAATCACATTCACCCGTTGTGCCGATGACTTCATCAATTGTTTTACCTCATCTGCTGAAGATCTGATGCGACGTTTTGTTTGAGTATTTACATACTCAAGGGGGAGTGTTGCAGTCCTATTGGATTAAGAATGTGATTGTGTAAATCTTAGTGTATCTAAGAGTATCTTGTATATTCTCTTTAGTAGTTTAATTGCTATTAGAGATGTAATCCTATTAGGGTAAGAATTCTACCTATCCTACTAATATAAATAAAGGCATAAGGAGGTGATACAATACACACCTCAAAATTACATATTTCTCTTCTCTCTCTGTGGTCGCCGACCCCTTTCCCTCTCTGTTCTTTATACACTTCAGTCAAATAAGCCTACAACAATTCCTATACAACATTCTGATGATATTCCTCTTTATTTATAAGTGATAGGTATTCGATTCTTGCCAAAGATGAATTTATGTGATATCGTTTGTTCAAACAAATTATATATTATTCACCCTCAATTTTCCTGAAACTAAGGATGAAATGCTTCCGATTTGAGGAGTCATATAGAAAAATAAAAATAAAAAGTCAGAAGCAGAAGCAGTGAGAGCAAAGCTCCTGGCTGCGCGCGCGGAGCTCTCGAAGCCAACGGAGATGGCGATGACTGTGGCAACTTTCCAACCCAAAACACTTCGACCCAAAAGCCCTTACCTTCTTCCCAATCTACCCAGAAGAGTCTGCAACTTCAAGGCCTTCTCCCTCCACAATCCCCAGCTCCCATCACTCGTGGGTCAGTTCGAACCCACCATCCCAATAGAGAGAGCAGGGACTCCTCCCAGCTCATGGTACACTAATCCATCATTTTACTCTCTCGAAATCAACACCCTTTTCTACCGTGGATGGCAGGCTGTAGGTCAGCTTCCAATTCCATTTAATCTTGGGAAATTGGCTAAAATGATCCGAAATCAGAATTTCAATTGTTGAAGTGATCAAAATCAAATCAAATGTTAGCAACAAAGCGAACAGATGTCGACACATATTGACAATCCGATCACTTCGGTAATTGGGATTTGAAAACTGATCATTTCGGGCAGTTTCCCTTTTAATTTTACTGCTTGATATCTGTTTGGTTCCTGAGAAAAACCCAAATGAAAATTTATGAGCTTTTGAATGGTTGTTGGTTTTCAGGATATACAGAACAGATTAGTAATGCAGGGGAGTTTTTCACTGGCAGGTGGAAACTTTTTTACTAGTATTTAGTTAAGTTCTGTTTGGTTTTTGGTTTTTCTTTTGGATTTTGAGTTTTGATTTATTTGTTAACTCAGCAGATTGGGAAACGTAGAGTTTGTGGTATGCCAAGATGGTGATGGAAAGCTTCAAGCTTTTCACAATGTCTGTCGACATCACGCGATGCTCCTTGCATATGGAAGCGGCCGCAAGTCCTGCTTTGTCTGCCCTTATCATGTCAGTTTACTTACATTGCTGTTTGCTGATTGCTTCCAAGCAGATTCTTAAGGAAAAGAATATCAAATTCAATTAACTAATTATATTAGTAGAGAAATTACAGTTTTTTTTATCCATTTTTCAAACTCTGATGAGCTACAAAAGTTTTACCTTGTGGGTTTTGATTATAGTACGTCATTACATATGGGGTGCTCTGGCCACTCTATGTTTGCTTATCTTGGAAAAACTTTAAGTGCTTAGAAATAGGGTTTTGTTTATAAAAAATTTTGCTAGTCGAGTTAACTTTCCTGTGGTTTTACCTTCTGATTAAATACTTAAGCATGCAATCCCTTTTGCAGGGATGGACGTATGGGTTAGATGGTGCACTTCTCAAGGCAACTAGGATAACTGGAATACAGAATTTCAATGAAAACGTATGTTGTAACATTATTTTGGATGCAATTACATTCCTGCTATTTTTCAATACGGAGGGATAATTTGATTGATTTTGTGTTGCCATGAAGGGTAGGAGTTTGGACTTGTACCACTAAAAGTAGCAACTTGGGGACCGTTTATTCTTCTCAATATGGAACAGAATGTTGACAGTGATCCAGGCAGTGTGCAAAATGAATGGCTTGGCAGCTCCGCAGAAGTACTGAGTAACAACGGGATTGATACTTCATTAAGTTTTGTTTGCCGACGTGATTATGTGATTGAATGTAACTGGAAGGTATGCTCCATGCCTGTTCGCTTTAAAGTTTTCCTTACTGGATGAGTTTCCAGCGGTGATGATAATCTTTAATGACTCCTTGTTTAGGATGAAGGAGTCGACAACTGATTAGTCTTTCTTTTTGCAGGTCTTTTGTGACAACTACTTAGATGGGGGGTACCACGTGCCTTATGCACATAAAGGCCTTGCATCTGGTCTTAATCTTGACGGTTACTCTACCACAGTATGCTTCCGTTAACAACTCTTCTTGGCATATGTACTTGAATTGCAAAAAAAATTCTATTTACAACACTGAAGGTGTTTGGAATTGTACTATGGATTAGACGACTTTTTCTTCGAGCACAATCAAACCAAGGATTCATTATCTAGAGTAGTGTAAAGAGCCTTTATTCTTGCAGCATAGATCCATCTAGTAACGTTGTCTTTGGTCCTCAATTTTTTTATTGTTCTGTTTCAGTGTTGGTTGCCTTTGCATCTGACGTATTGCTATTGGTTATATAGATGTATGAAAAGGTCAGCATTCAAAAGTGTGAAAACGGCTCGACAGAAAGAAAAAATGATTTTGATCGGCTTGGGTCAAAAGCGCTGTATGCATTCGTGTATCCAAATTTCATGATTAATAGGTAATTGATCAGTGACTTGTATTAAGTTACTTCTTCAATGAACTTGGTATAACTAGGCTTTTCATGGTTTCTTATAGGTATGGACCTTGGATGGATACCAATCTGGTATTGCCGCTCGGACCGCGGAAATGTCAAGTGAGATTTGATTACTTTATTGAAGCTTCTCTTAAGGTAATACTGAATTTACTCTGCTTGATAATCCATGTCTCTCTTATCCACAATATTAAGTTAGGATGTGGTCTTCACACCCAATTATTTAGGGTTACGTTTAAAATTGAAAGTTTCTTATGTCGTCGGAAAATTCATGTTTAAAATGTCGTAGCACGCTGACTGATTTGCTCCTTCCAAGTAATATCAAGTCACACAAGAACCAATTAAGATGGGCACAGCCCGCGGCATAGTTATTGTATCGTCATGTTGATTTCTGCTGTGCTGTCTTGTGTTTATTTGATCTTTTGGTTCTCAGGATGACAGAGATTTTATAGAGAGAAGTTTGAAAGATAGTGAAAGAGTACAGGTATAATCACTTCACTCCTGGTTCATGGAATGTAATTTGTATTATCTACGCCACGCCTAACTCACAACTGGTCTGGTCAACAGACGGAAGATGTCATGCTATGTGAAGGCGTTCAAAGAGGTTTGGAATCGCCCGCGTACAATATCGGTAGATACGCCCCGACTGTTGAGAATGCCATGCACCATTTCCATTGCCTGCTTCACAGGAGCTTAACAGAATGATGAACTCATTGCATTTGGGTTCTCACTCTCTTTAGAGGAGGTATTGTTCCAAGGCTTTAATGTCGCATGTGTACCTAATGGGAATTTGTAGGTGTAACCGGAGGTGTATCTGTGTATTTACACCAGAGGTATACATTACATCCGAGTTGTATCTTGCAAGGCGACCCTCGGTTTAAATATTTCTGTTTTTATAGACACATCCAACATTCCAAAACAAGTCAAACTATAAAAACCCAAATCACTCTTTAGGTACATAAACTGCACAAGTAAATTCCAGTGAGCAGAGACCAAACCGACTAATACTATTGCTTCTGTAAAGCTGAATGCTGCAAGTACATTCCCCACTTAACAAAAGATTAGTTCGTGGATTCTGTGAAATGTTATCTGTCGTTAGCCAAAAACCGACAAAAGAACAATCCAGACCCAGAAAGCTATGAAACCGCCACTCTAACTGCAATATATCTTCCACACTTCCTACTGACTAACCTGAAAGGCGAAAGGGCAGGTGACTAAATCACGGGCTCGGAATATAGTAATACATTTTAATCCTCAAGTGAAATATACAAGAACTCCTACCTCTGGATTGTTTCTTCGCCTAGGGATCATTCTTGTGAAATACTTGTATAACGGAGTTTCTGGAACCGGAATCAGTTTCCCAACAACAGCGAGAGGCCAACTGCAAGGGAGAAGAGTTGTGTCAACCAACAGAAGGAAACTAAACACTCTTAAGAGTGTTCTACTTATATTACAAAACACGGCATAATCATAGGTTCGTTTGGGACAAATAATAAATATCATCGTAACGTCAATCAAACTTTAAACGTATCTTCACCAACTCACCTGATAAAAGCTATTACAGATGAAATCAGCCAAAGATCCCAAGTAAGGGGTTTTGTTTTAGTGAACTTCCCAAGGAACTCGACGATGATAATCTAAAGAAAAGCAAAGCCAGGTGTAAACAAATGCAAACTTTCACCAAAGCCACATGAAAAAAAACAGAAGCACTAAAGTATCACCTGAAGTACGAGAGTTACTGCTACTATTCCCATAAAAAGGAAGTTCTTGGTTATCCCTTGGAATATATTGAACTCATCGGGCTTTCGAGCATTGAATTCATTGAAAATCTGCAAGTTGAACATTACACTTATTAAAGACATTGTATGTTGAACATTTCACTTACTAAAGACATCCTTTTGATAAATCATGCTTACAAATACAAACAAATAAACCCTAGCAGCTTCACCCTCAACCAATTGGTAAACAACACTAGAAATGCATACAATATTCCATTACAGCTGAACTGACATGTTGCATATCATTTTCGACAAATCCACTTTAGTAGCAACTTAGTGCAGAACTTAATAGGAAAACTCGAAGTGAGAAGCTTAGACTTACTTGACAAAGGACACCAGAAAAAAAAATACAACAAACGTAGACTACTTAATATTAACCAGCTATGACTTACTTGACATAGGACAAATGCATTGAATATCAGAGTATTCTTCACTGTGGTAGCATTGGGACCATGCAGCTTCAGTATACTTATTCCTCGGAAGGTGAGGACAAGTAGGACAGTGACTTGGTAGAAAGCCTGAAGTTCAAGAACAATATATCAAATATACAAATGACAATGTAGACTATGTAGCACGACAATACACGTTATAGGGCACCAATACTTCAATTTACATAAACTTAATAAATGCATGTACCTGAACCAACAAGTTCCTCCACATTATATTTGTTATGAGCGGCTCTCTGTAAAACATTGTACCATAGGTTCATTACTATAACCATCTCAAAAGCAAATAGTCTGCTTAATGACATGAAATATCCAACAATATGGGCCAAGAAGAAGGGACGCACATTCAAAACAATAAAACTATACTTTTAGATTCTGTGCACAAAAACACAGTAACAAAGAGGTTGGAAATTTCTCTTGCAATCCCACTGATGCCTTACAATTTCAGAATTTAGTTCCTCCATGAAAATATATATGGCTATGGTAAGCATTGTCAAAATGACATGTTGACAAGGACTTGAAAGATAAATGTAACCGGTAAAAAGGAAACCTAACAGAAACACACTTTGACACAAAATATTGTAACTATTTTTGTCACAGAAAAGATCATGTCCTGTTCCCTTGCCTCCCTTTTCAGGGTAGAGATCTGGAGCACTACGAAAACAAGAACTTTATCCAAAACAGCATGACAAAATAATTATAAAAAAAAAGGGAAGAAATGACATTGTTAAATCAACTAAAACAAAATGCTCACAAGTTTTCAGAAACTTTAGGTGACTAACAAAGATTAAGACAGCATATTTGGTGATATAAGCGATTTTATTTTATTTTTTGTTTTGTAAAAAGAAGCCATCATCACAGAAATCTTACCTTCGACCAACAGGGGTTCTGTCCATCAAGTGATCTGTAGGTGGCTCCGTAGCCAATGCTAGAGCTCCAAGTGTATCCATGATAAGATTCACCCACAGAAGCTGCACAAAGCACAAGAAAGGCATCCACAGGTGTACACATGGAGGTGAGAGATATATGTGTGTGTGTGTGTGTGTGTGTATAGATACAGATACAGATATATATATATATATATATATATAGAGAGAGAGAGAGAGAGAGAGAGAGAGAGAGAGAGAGAGATCAAAACCTGAACAGCATTTAGTGGAACGTCACCAGATGAAATGGCTGCCACGACATTTATAATTAGTGCTGCAACATTGACTGTAAGCTGGAATTGGATGAATTTCTGAATATTTGCATATACAGATCGACCCCATCTAACAACCTACAACCATGAGATAAACAAAACACTGTTAAAGATTTGCAAATTTGGGTTTCTGAATCGGCACTCGAAATAATAATGAAAAAACAGAAGATAGATACACATATGGTCAGTTTGTCACCATGCTGACACTCCCTAAACAACTGCTTTTTTTGTTTAATCAACTTTTTATTCTTTCCCACTTTTTGCTTTCCGCTTCTCTATCCCAACATATTTTCTGTTAGATTCATGTTCTAGGAATTAACTCTCAGCCATCTCCAAAGCTATTGACATCTCTCAGCCTGATGACACCAATTTCACAATGCATAACAAACCCTCCCTATAGGTGTAAATGGTTCCCAAATCAAAGAGCCCAGATTGGAAGGCTAAGACGAATGATTTCTTGGATGGTTCTAGAAATAGTCAAACCATTTTCACAACATGACTTGTCATGCCTTTTCTACCTAAGCAGAAAACCAAAGATTTCTAGTTCTAAACCACCATAAAATTGCTTTGATGGGCTAATCAATTATAATCTCAATCTTCTTCAAATTCTCATGTTTTCTGGGCATTAATTTCTTTCAGTGACACTGTGATACTGAGGATGAATAGGTCACTGATGTTCTCAGTTGTTTGCCATTTTTGTCTAGCAGTGAGTCAATTTATTGAAGCAATATTCTTGACAATGTACTCTATGCTATTTTGCTGCAATTGTATAACTAAACAAAAAGCAAAATTCAGTGTATACAAGCCTAATGTGGAAAAGTATGTTATACATCTGGACACCATATATGCACACTGAGTGCTATCCTATTCACTTAAGGGTGGGAGATGCAAGAAAAATTAAAAGTGAGAACTGAGAGAGAACAAAGTAATAAATTAATTAAAAGTATGTATCATCCGTTGGATGGAATTTACCGAATGAAACACCTGAACTTTTGTTACAGTCCAGTTAGAAGAATGAGCTTGTGTTTATGTTACTGATTAATTAAAGCACTACACAAAATGTCTATTAAAGAAAGGAGTTATGAACAGAAAGGTAGAACAGAGTACTACAATACAATAGACAATGACATTACTAAGATAAACTGCAAAACGTTCATACAGTTGCTAACCTTCACAACTGAAGCAAAATTATCGTCCAAGATAATGATATCTGAACTCTCTTTGGCAACTTCAGTCCCTTGAATACCCATTGCAAGACCAATGTCTGCCTGAACTCATATGTGGATTATTTCCAAAAGAAAAAAACCATCAAAACATAAACTCATTTAACGCTACAGCTAAAAGGGACAAAAAATGACCCACTACAAAACTAGTGCAGGGATTCAAACACATTAGGCTGCTACAATAAAATCAAAAAAAGACAACAAACAAAAACTGAAGTGAAAACATTTGACAAACCTCATGCAGTGCAGGAGCATCATTAGTGCCATCTCCGGTTACAGCAACAACATGACCCCTTCTCCTCAATGCTTGCACAAGCAGAAGCTTGTCATTGGGGGAAGACCGCCCCATCACCTGCACATTACACAAAAAAGAACCAATTTTCCTCAAATCTGGTGTTCACACTTCAATCATCAAAACATGTCACCAGAAACAATAAGTAAATATGAGTAGATATCCAATTACTCAGATCATACCGAAATCTTTTCAGCATAATCTTCTTTCTGCTTATCCGAAAGTTCACGGAAAACTTTTCCTTCAATAAGAGTTGGCTCGGTAGCATCTGAATCTGGAGCAAGTATGCCACATTCCATAGCAATTGCTTTCGCAGTTTGAACATTGTCACCCGTGACCATGCGCACCTACAAAATTCTCAGATTGGAAGGAGAATTTAAGATGCAACATCCAGTTGTTCACTTTCTCCAAACAGTATTTAAAATGACACCCAGAAAATAATTTATGAAAAGAATATTTAAACTTTACCAAATTTCTTTATAAATGAAATTGATTCTTCTGATATACAGTTACTATACGACTAAACTACAGATACAGACATGTATCTGAACCTAACTAAATTTTAACCATAATAGGACATACATTGACACATAATGACATAATGAAATTACAACCAGTACAAAAACTGCATTTAGACCAAGTGTATAAAAACTCAAAATAACGATACAATTTTTAAGAGAAAGGAACTGAGGGAGGAAGTGGAGGCTGAAAAAAAAAAATCCTACAAAACAATATAATAAATAAATATACATAGGACAGCCCTATGAAAAACAAAGAGGCAAGTTGAACTACCATTGTTGCACAATAAACAAGCAATTGATACAAGTTGACAGCTGAACTTATTAAGCATAGAATCTTTGGGCTTTCTTCAAATTGGGGACTGAACCCTTTCTGTTCTCTCTGGCGTAATAAACACTCTTAATCCGAAAATAAACACCCTTTTTATGAAGATCAAAAATCCGGAAGACCATTCACATAGATGTTACTAAATAATACCTTAACACCAGCTTTTTGGCATAGTCGCACTGCATCCCCCACCCCAGGCCGACAAGGATCCTGCAATTTTTTCAATTCTCTAAATAAGTTTAAACAAACTACAAGTGAATGCAAATCTAGAAGGTGCCAAAAGAAGCAACATATCAGCTTAGAACAGAGGATATTAAATGTTACATGCTCCTTATCTAAGTTAGCAATACAATGTCACGCACTACCTTTATACCAACAATAGCAAGCAAGACAAGGTCATCATCAGGCAATGCCCACTCAGATAGTTGTCCATCAGTTGGAACATCTTCCAATTCATGTGGTCTATAAGCAATGGCAACACAACGCAAACTGCGAGCAGCCATATCCTCAATTGATTTCCTGAAAATTTTTGACTGCAGACAAAGGCATATTTCATTCAAATGAAATATTAGACAAAAACTTCCAAAGTTAAAGTCACCATAAAATGAACACAAAAGTAGTAAGAAAATAAGTTTAGGAACAAGATTCATACAATTGATATTAGGGATAATTTGTACAAGTTCAAATTTTGTCTTTTAAGCTTAAAAGAAGGTTATAATGTCTTGCACGATCACAAAAAACTAAAAGGGTGTTAAAATCATCTCAAGCTGGAAAGGAATGACTAAATTAGAGGAAGAAAAAATAGACTGTATTATACAAGTGTTTCACTAAAAGAGATGCAGAAATTAACTATCATTTTATCACGCCAAAGTTTTCTCCTACCTTCTCATCATCCATAGCTACCAACTTGTCATTTGGATCCAGGTACTTTGTACAACAGGCCAAGACTATTTCAGCAGCCCCTTTCCAGTGTATATGAACTTCGGAATTGGGCTGTACAGATAGAAAAAAGGCAATCAACCATTACTTGCAGCTCCCTTGAATGCAAAAGAAGTTATCCACAATGAATACTAATATTCTTCCCCATGTACTGTAACTGATATATGAAGACATTTTACAAAAGAGAACATATAATATTAAGATCATCCAGATTCCTGACATGTTTGTTGCAACCAGGAAGGTAACAAATGAAACACAATATTGAATACATAACTACTAAAACAAAATTCAAAATGTACTATCTTAAGATCCGCATAATATAACCATATAATCAAGAACTCTTAGTGTGGCAAGGTAAGATTCTTAAGTTCCCTACCAATTTAACCGCAGCACCGCCTCTTTTTTTCTCAGAGTTGAATGGGAACACATGAAGAAGTGAAGACTCAGACCTTATGACATCAAAATTCATTCCAAGCTGCAAACAAGTTATCAATTATTAGTGGTGAGTTCAAGGGATGAAGTCACCCATGAGCAGTAGCAAGATACATGAATTGGAAAACCAAACGAAAGAACCTTGATTCCCAATTGCAGAATTGCCTTTTCAGTTGGTGATCCAGAAACCTCTATATCACCGCCGGTCTACAAAAGGGAAGAAACAGCAAATTACAACCTTACTGAACCTAAGCCTTCACCACTCAATATTCTGCTTTAAAATCTTTCCAAGAAAGCAACACAAATACTTTAAGCATACCTCAGGCATATAAACACTGCCATTTGTATTGAATGCGATGCCTTCAATAAGCAAAGATGATAGCATTGGAGACAAGTCTGGCTTATCGCCAGAGAGAACGATTTTCCTCCCACCCGTAAAAGCCTCAACAACAGTCATCTATACTCGAAGAAATGTAGAGAAAAATATCACTCATTAGCAATCTTAAGCTAGAGAACAAAAGAATGAGAAGGAGAGAGAGCAAGAGAGACAATTAGAAATAAATGTCAATAACATTTGTTCTGCCACGTCCACCACCATTTTTTAATCTCACAACACCCACACCAATTGACTAAAATTTTCCCTTAGTAAGACAACACTTAAGCTGATTTGAACCCTCAAACTAACTTCATCTGAACTAGCCTAGTTGATGAGACCTCAACACCTCGACCGTCATATATTTTACAATGAGAGAGAAACTGGGCATTTAGAACTCCATTTAGAACCCCATTGTAGTGTAAGTTATACCCACCTGGTTTAATGTTAAGGTTCCAGTCTTGTCACTGCAGATTGTAGTTGCAGAACCCATGGTTTCACATGCAGACAGCCTCCGCACCTACATTTAGAGATCCATTGTTCCAAAATTATTATATGCTAACCCTAAGAAAAGTACATATACTTAAAAATCTATGAAGGCATAAAACTGAAAGACAATTAGACTTACCAAGGCCTTATCTGCCATCATTTTTCTCATCGAGTAGGCAAGCCTGTGTCATAGCCAAAGAATGAAAGGGGCAAAAGTAAGGAATGAGGAACGTATGCAATAAAAACGTATCCTTTTACAAAAGAAAAAAGAAAAGTTTTATATTTTATGTTTGGCTTGCGGGAAGCCCAGGGCCACAACACATCGTACAGAAAACTTAGTATCGAAATAATCATTTTTCTGATAGTAAGTTACTCAGTGTAACACACGAGTGAAATTAAAAAAGGAAAAAAAGAAAAAGAAAAACAGGTTTAGCACAAAACAATGAGCAGACTTACGTCAAGGTAACAGCTAAAGGGAGCCCTTCAGGAACAGCAACCACCACAATGGTGACCTAAAACTTTTTCACATTAATCAAATTCACAAAAACGCTTGTATTTAAAGTGAATAATCAGGTAAACAATGAAACATCACAGGCAAGTATTTATTGAAAACAACCCAGGAGTTATTGACATACTGCAATAGTAACAATTTTAATGGCTCCATCTATGGCATCTCCAAATTTTGTCTTTCCAGCGGTAAACTGAGGTTTTCCAGTTGTATCTTTTGTATGGCCAGTAAAGTATCTGCACAAGTTATAGTACTCTATCATAAATCAAGTGTCCCTGACATCGAGAAGGGGTCACTAGTGATAGTACTCTTATCATAAATCAAGTGTCACTGTCATAGAGAAAGGGTCACTGGTGAAGATAAGGAATATACCTAACCAACAGGACTATCAAGACAAGAAAAGCCACTGTGAGTCCGACAATACCAATGAAAGTCGCAACCCCGTTCAAGCGCACCTATTCAAAGATGTATATGTTTGAGTACAGAATTCCATGCATCAAATGAAATTATTCAAGTTAAAAGTTCATCGCTGACCTGCAGAGGAGTTTCTTCACCAGTATCTTCAGAAATACTAGCCATGAGCATTCCCCATTCAGTATTAATCCCAACACTAGTACCTGAAGAAACAATGATAATAATATTAAAACATTGACAGTTCTATTTCAAAATTACATGGGCAGCAAATAAAGAAGCCTCCGAAAAAAAAGTCTCAGCACCCACAAAGATTTCAGATATGCCATTGACTGACTCTAGAAAAACTATTATGAATCTATATAAGTATAATGGGAAAAGGAAAAGAAAGATAGGAATCTTTACCAGCATAGTACCATTTCCATCTGCTACCTTGCAGCCAGACATTAGAAATGGGTCCTTGGAGTCCTTGCGAACCTGAAAATAGGAAAATATATACATCATATGATTTACAGAAAATAAATGGTCAGTGTTCAAACAAGGCTAGAGAACATGTATAGAGGCTCACAATCTTGCTCTCTCCAGTCATACTCGACTCATCGATTGAAAGTGAGTACCCAGTTATTAAAATGCCGTCAGCAGGGACCTACATATAGAATCACAATATTAATAAACTTTTCAATTGGAATGCAATTGCGAAATATACATGAAACATTTACTGACAAATGCGCATACCTGATCGCCGATATTAAGGGGTACAACATCACCAACAACAAGATCATAAATTGAGACCTCAACACGTCTACCACCTCTAATGACCTGCACATTACGTCCAAAGCTAAATATCGGCACATGAGAAGAAATAAAATTCACATAAACTGACGGCGAAGAGCACCAGAAGCTCACTTCCAAATGTATATTTCTCTTTTCCTCATTTAAATTCTGGAACTGAAGAGATTGTCTGTAATCACTAACGGCTGCAGGTAAAAATTATAGGAAAAACTGATGAGTGTGTACCACTTCAGATTAATAGAAACTCCCATTTATTTTAGAATTCAAGTAATAAACTTGTATAAGCTCATGATTGACATATGCTTAAACACCCCACAAAAGAGCATAAATGATTAAACATCATCCAAATTTGTAAGAAGCCCATATACGGCTACAAGTGACATGCATAGCATCCCCTCTAATAATGGCAGATATATATATATATATATATATATATAATATGTATATATAAGTGCACACACATATACACACGTAAACACACACACACACACATACATATATACACACAAATATAGAAAGCGAGAGAGTTAGAAAAGATGAATAAATTTTGAACTCAAGGCTTTAGTGTCAAATAATGTGCTCAAATGTGGAATTGATGGATTCTGGCCACCATGAATAGTCTTCACTCAAATTAGTTTTTGGGAAATAATTACAAAACTTGCTGAGCATCAACAACAACAACAACAAAGCCTTTTCCCACTAAGTGGGGTCGGCTATATGAATCCTAGAACGCCATTGCGCTCATTTGTGTCATGTTCTCCGTTAGATCCAAGTACTCAAGTCTTTTCTTAGGGTCTCTTCCAAAGTTTTCCTAGGTCTTCCTCTACTCCTTCGGCCCCGAACCTCTGTCCCGTAGTCACATTTTCGAACCGGAGCGTCAGTAGGCCTTCTTTGCACATGTCCAAACCACCGGAACCGATTTTCTCTCATATTTCCTTCAATTTTGGCTACTCCTACTTTACCTCGGATATCCTAATTCCCAATCTTATCCTTTCTCGTGTGCCCATACATCCCACGAAGCATCCTCATCTCCGCTACACCCATTTTGTGTACGTTGATGCTTCACCGCCCAACATTTTGTGCCATACATCGCTGGCCTTATTGCCGTCCTATAAAATTTTCCCTTGAGCTTCAGTGGCCTACGACGGTCACACAACACGCCGGATGCACTCTTACACTTCATCCATCCAGCTTGTATTCTATGGTTGAGATCTCCATCTAATTCTCCGTTCTCTTGCAAGATAGATCCTAGGTAGCGAAAACGGTCACTTTTTGTGATCTTCGCTAGATTGCTCCGGTCATTAGTGTGGATAAGTATATAAATGGATAGAGATAGGAAAGCAAACACAAGATGTACGTGGTTCACCCAGATTGGCAGAATTTTATTTGAATATGGAGAGGGAAAGAAACAAAATTGTTAGACATCTATAATATATATGCCTAATATTTAAAGCAAGTTGACTAGTACATCAACACACCAGCCCCTACAAGCAAATTAACTAAAATGTTGGAAACAAAAATGACAATCAAATATATAAATTTTAGACATCATTGAATAAACATGCTAAGTCAATACCTGTGACAACAATGACAAGGAGAACTGCAAAAGCAATGCTGCCCCCATCATACCATCCCTCCTTTATACCCTGTAAGCTACAAAGAATGCATAAGACGAACACCATAAACAAATTTCGTATTTAAAATGAATAAATAAAATGAGATTCACAAGGGTTTGTGATATCACTCTCCAAATATGATTATGAAATCATCAACATTCACACAAAAAGTGACAGATTTGCAACCATATAAGCACTATATCTGTGGTAATGATAGAGGTCATTTCTCTAATAATGGAACACCATGGCCCTCGCAATATATGCAATCAAAAGGGTGCACTATTTAAGAAAAGACAAATCATGCTACAACAACAACTCAGACTCCAAAACAAACAGGACATTATCAGAATATAAAAATCACCACAACTAGCAGATATTCATAAGAACACCCTAAAAGTTTCACATCCTACTCTGATTAAGGATGAAGCTATTAAGAAGCCAATGCCAGCTCACCTCTGTTTTTATACCCAGCGCTAAAGAAGCCACTGCAGCTACCATCAAAATGATCAGAGTAAGATCTTGCCAAGCTTCCCAAAGAAATCTCTATCAGACAGAAAAAGAAAAAAGAAATATATTATGACAGCACAAACTTTTCTTCTTTTTTCTTATTATATCCAATATGGAAACTTCAAAAGTTCACAACTGTAGCAAATTTACCCAGAAACTTCTTGCTTTTTTCCTAGGATATGTGTTCGACCCAAATGCATTTTTCCGTTTTAGTAAATCAACATCATCTCCATGAATTCCCTTGTCGAGATTTGTTTTCAATAGGTCCCCTAAGCCTGTGACCTGATTTAAGGAAACAACAGAACAAATATAAGCAACAGTGTTGATGTACCAACTCAGATCACAAAAAAGGTTTTGTGGTGGACTTGCCCCCCCATATTGTTGAAGAGCAGCAAAATTATGATCCCTCGTCACTGGAACTAGTTCCTCTTGTCCAATTGGAAAATCGCCAGTAGAACTTGGTTTTGGTACTACGACTCCTAACAATAAAAAGCAAAAAGTTAACTCCAGAACTACCACAGAGAACAGTTTCCACACCAGGGTTTATGCATCACGATAGTGGAGCAAATGAGAGAGATCTCTAAAACACAATCCTAAAAAACAGGGTAATACCCTTCAAACAACGAAAATGAATATTTACAATAATGTTGCATTTTTTTTCCGCGGATAATATTTACAAAAAAATTAATGGAATAAAGAAAAAGAAGTACCATTCACTTGCTGGTCTCCAGCTTCCTTGAAAAGATATGCAGCCTATTTTAAAAATAAAGAAAAATCATATGTTAGGATACTGATAGTACATGAGTGACTTGAGACACATTTATTTTGAAGTGATTTACTCGTATGGCTTGTGCATGGGCTCTAATCTTCCTTAGTGTCTGCTGCTTTTCTTCTTCCTTTTTCAAGTCTAAGGTGTACCGGAATCGACGAGAAGCATTCAGCACAAGTGCCGCTTGCTAAAACAAAACAAAACAAAACATAGTTCAGCCAGAAGCCTCAATAAAAAAGATCGGATCAAATAAAATAAAACAAAATAAATGATTTCCAGTAACAATGTCTCGTTTGGATGTGCTTTTAAAATGACTGAAAGCACTTTTAGAGAAAATGTTTTTAGGTTTCAAAAGCACTTTAAATGCTTTCTACAAAAAGCACCAGTTATGTGCTTCTTCCAAGAAGCACTTTAAGTGCTTTTCTAGGATTTACTAGCATTTTTACTAAGGATTGTTTCTAAAAATATTTTCACCAAAAGCACTTTCAGTCATTTTAAAAGCATATCCAAACAAGCTCGTAAACTACGCACCCAAAAGATATATTTCCAATTCTATTGATTTTGTTATTAAAAACGACTCCCATATCAAAAAAGATACTCGTAGAACTTTTCGCCAACAATTTTCCAATTTTTCTTTCAACTGTACAACACTACTTTATAGGTTTAATCTTCTAATCCTGGCCATACTAAACCTAACACAATTTCGGAAAGTACTATTCCCTTCTTGAAAAATTGAGACTAATCTATTCACATAGAGGGAGCAACTACACTATTAATAGATATTTACCATCCGGTACAGAAAACCGACATTACAATCCGAAACCTAAATCGTAGAGGCAGATACACAAACAGATAGAACACTGGACCAAAAATACACCCGCAAAGCAACATAAACATATACATATCCATACATACAGAGATGAAGAACGAATTGCAGAAACAAAACAATATATGTGTAAATACATATAAAAATGACTGTAAAACTGCAAAATGTTATATAGATTGTAAAGCATACCCTCCAGCGCTTGAGGCGGTCGACCGAAGCATCCTTAGTTCTGGCAATGTCAAAAGGACTGGACGAGGACTCGTCGTCCAAGTCGCCCGAGCGGCTGCCGCCGGCCTCCAAATCCGCCCGTGAGCCTCTCGATTGACTCATCGTTCGTTAAAAACCTGTCGCAGGAGAGATGGCGCCGTTAGTTTCTTCAACCGCCGGGCCCTAACAACCACTCGAAACCCCTCTCACACTCCCAAATTCTCACTCCCCGAACCCAATTTCCAGCTTTCTAATCTCTAATTTCGTTTCAAATTTTCTAAAACTCGAATGCTCGTCACAGTAAAAACTAGTGCAACTTCCAGTCCGAAATTTCGAGACTTATCTGGAACCGCCGCTCGCTCCGCCGCACTTGGCAGAAACGTTAGGGTTACTAACGAAAACCCGGAAAGTTTGGCTACAATTTATAATAGCTGGATAGGGGTTCACTTTTACAGTCGAGACTCTCTGCCGTACAAACTTCCTACTACCCCCGTCCCTTCCTATTTTATTTTATCTCTCAGAATATATAAAAAAATATTAGACCAGGGACAGTAGAAACAGATATTTTGGCAAGCGACGGTTACGGTGGAGAAAAATGTTGATGTTACCTTGGTTGATTGGGTTTGAATTTCGTCGACTTTAATCTAATATTTTTATGTTTCAAGAAATAGATATTTTGGACAAGGGTTTAAAGGTAATTACGATTTCTCCACTCAGCCTTCTTCAGAAAACCCTAGATTATATCCTCTTCTCCACTACGTGTGTATTGATATTCTAATTTATGTAGATTTTTCTTGATCTTCTACGTCATCTTATTCATGACAAAAATTTAAATTAAAGAATAGCACTAGCATATACCTTATAATGGATGCTTGGAGAGTAGCAATCTGCGTTTTTTTGCATGCACAAATCAAATTGTTAGAAAACTGAATTTTAGTTTATGAAGAAAAAAGACAAATGGATATATAAGAAACGAGTACCCGAGTGAATAATCTTTCAATCAAAGCGAAAGTTTTAGTTTACGAAAGAGGAAGATAATTGGATAGACAAGAGATAGGTACTCGAGTCAAGAATCTTTGTGACCAACTGAAGTTTTAGTTTTTCGAAGAAAAAAAGACGATGAGTAAATAAATAAGAAATAATCTAGTGGTATTCTTCTTCAGTTGTAAATAAGAAGTTGTAAGGTGCCCACTCCCTCATCCCATTAATGTAGTACTATCGTTGCCTACGCGAGAAAGTGAGTGAATGAAGCAGTTTTGGTGAAGAAACACATTTGTGATTGCGAATGACACACGGTTCCGTGTGATGGTAGTTGCCGTGGGGGAGACCTCAAGAGTGGCGGTGCCTTTTCTTATTCCTTTGATTTTCATTTTCTCACCTGTTTTCTTTCCTTTTCTTTTCTTTTCTTTTTCCCTTTTTCTGTGGGATAATTAATTTCCTTATTAGGGAGCAAGTTAGGAAGATGTTTCTTGGAAGCAAAGAATCGAATCATGTGATCGTGTTTTTTTCTTGCAAGTGAGGTCGGAATTTACTATGGTGTTTGTTGGAAGCAAGGAAATAATCAATGGCGATGCTCAAGTTTTACCTACAACAGCTTTTCTCCGTTGTGGTCATGATGAAATAATTCAACTAATAAAAAGAGTTCTAAAAACGGGTGCTAATACTTTTAACTTACCTATTATTTCCAGGGAGAAAATTGGTTGAGTGTGACTCTTTAACACGTGGAAACAAAAAGCTAGTGTGGAAATTAGTTTTAAAATGTATTGGATTAGGCAAGAAAATAAAGTCCTATAAAAGGTGTAGAAAACTATGGCAGCAATGGAAAGATTGTTGAGTCGGCCAAGAAGACAAGGTAGACACGGTTGTAGCTCACACTTGTGTTTATACTATATTTTGATGTCGGTGGGGGTTTTGATAGATTGTTGATTTGATCACACTAGTGTTTATACTATATTTTGATGTCGATGGGGTTTGATAGATTGTTGACGTGTGGAAGGGCAGAGCAGACTGTCAAAAGTTTCGATAAGCAAACGGCGGGGCAGCATATGGGGATGACTTGTGGCAATTTGGAACTATAACTTTGTACCTTGGAATAGGAGTATGGGGGTGACTTGTGGCAGTTTTATTAGACTTTTCTTGCTTGGTCTGAATTTGATACGTATATTTTTTTTTCTGGATATGAATGAAATGAAAGCAAAGATAAGTAAATTATAATACGTACCTGAAATTTGCAGAATATCCAGAACAGCTACTACTGAAGTGTTGTATGATATATCTTCAGAAGAAAAAGCGATGATCAATATCTCCGCATCGCCAACGAGATTGAGATGTTATATATAATTGAGGTGGCCTTCATATTCCCTCTACTAAATAATCCAGCATGCATGTATATATATTATTCTTCTCTAAGAGTACTGCGCATGCCTGAAGTAATTTCCAGTAATTAAGTATTTATTCTGTGTAAAACTGCAATCAAAACGGACTAATGTAAACTGGATGCAGCAATCATATATATAAGAATATCTAGGGTGGAACTTAACCCCAAAAAAGTGCACGAATAGGTGGAAAGGTATTAAAATGATGCAATAATCTGCTTATTTTAATAAAAACGTGTCCTAATTTAGAGAAAGTAATATTAAATGGATAAAGAATAACTTTGCAGTATTAGAAACCAAAAATGTACATGAATCGGCCTGAAACCTTTCATGCAGACAGTACTTAAATCAGCTAAATCAATTGGTAGTGTCTGCTGGCTTTGATTTTCACCTCTTTATAATTAACAACTAAGTCATTTATGCATATATACTATATTTTTTTTTTTTGATAGATATGCATATATACTATAAGTGGAAAGGGAGTTCTAGCAGTTTCTTTCATCCCCACCATATTTTTCTTGGTTGTTTTAATAATTTCTAATTGTTCTTGTTTGGTCCATCGATCTGTGTGCTTAGGTGGGGTGACCTTTGCTTGTCAATTGGTTTTGGCACTGCTTAGGGGGCATGATTTCACGTCCAAGTAATCTGTTCTGATGTTAATCTTTTAGGTTACTCTTTATTCTGAAAGATTTCTCATTAGTCAAGGTTTAGGTTTTAAAAAATTCTAGTTTGTTGAAAGTACGTAGAAGACGGTCTTGATTCTTTGTCGACGAATGTACTTCACCATCTCCAGGTAAGTAAGCTTGTATTTAAGTTTAGTCTTACTTGGTAAAACTAAAGTTATTAAGCTTTAAATTGATAGACAAGCGACAATGGTCTCAAAAGCTTAAGCTGTGAGAACGGCTGCCGATGAATATCAAGCTTAAATACTCTTTCTTGAGTGCAAAGTTATTAAGATTTAAATCAATAAAACTTTACTATTTAGCCATATATCAATGGTATGTTTTTGTTTGGACTTAATCAAGGATATATTTTTATTAACTAGGCATAGGTCAGTAATGAATGTCACATGAGCTTTAAGTTATTATAAATAGCTAAAACTTGACTCTTCTATCCTTTCATTATATTAGAACTTAACTATTTTATTCTTCTCTCTATGAATGTCATATGGCCTTTAAGATATTATAAATAGTTAGAACAAGAATATTCTATCACTCCCTCCCCCCCCCCCCCCCCTAGTTTACATGGAGGAATTTGCTCAACTCAAGGAAGCGGAACCAGGAAATGGACACTGCATTGCAGTATATCTGAATCCAAATCTAAAAAATAGAGCCAAAAGACAGACACTGCACTACAATGTCTTAATTCAAATGTAAAAATGAGAAGTCGTGTGAGGATATGAGACATGTGAGTGATGGAAAAAACTAAAACGGACATTGCAACACAAAGTCTGAATCCAAAAGCTAAAAACAAAACCATGAAATGAACATTGCGTTGCAGTATTTGAATCCAAATGTAAAAAATTAAAAAAAATTAAAAAAAATAAAAAAAGAAAAGGAAAAGGAACATGTAAGAGGCATGGGAGTGATGGAAAAAACAAAACAAGGAGATGGACACTGCAACGCAGCGTCTGAATCCAAAAATAAAAAACATAACAAGGAAATGAATACTACATTGCAATGTCTGAATCCAAATGTAAAAAAGAACATGTAGGAGGCGTTTGAGTGATGGAAAAAACGAAACAAAATAATAGACATTGTGTTGCAGTGTCTAAATCCAAATGTAATAAATAAAATAAGGAAATAGACACTGCGACACAGTGTTTAATCCGTGTCGATTTATTCCAAAATATAAAAACTATGAGAAAGGGGGTCTTAGTTGAAGTAGGTGTCAACTGTAGTGATAGATAAGATGTGAGGATCCCTAGGGTCCCCACAATTTGGATCCGAATGGGATCCAAATCCATTTTAATTCTAGTTCAATTTTTATGTTTCTTTAGTAATGTTTAATTATATGTTTTACTTTACAAAAAAAATCAGGGGTTGAGGAATGGCGAGCGACAGGTTCACATTTCCCGAAGGTGGATGTTTGGGGGGAGACACATGCCAATTATGACATCCAAGTTGCAACGGCATTTTTGTAAGTATTCTTTTCTATGATTTAATTGTAAATTTCATTACAATAAATAAGGTTTAAATTATGATAAAAAATCTTAATTGATTTCCCCTTTTTTTTTGTAGGCTTTTATGACACTAAAGAAGGACGAGTACCTAGCCTACTATCCTAGCAGCAACCAGACATGCCTATGGAGAAGCTGATACCTGATCCAAAGGTGTATCTACAGTTACTGATGGACGAGGTTAGGCGATGGAAAGGCAAAGAACTTTGCGGCCTATGAGCAAGTCGGGTTTAAGACCTCAGAGGTCGTCTTCTTCAGCGAGTTATAATCCTTCGACCGAGACTGATCCAAACTTCAGCATGTAGAGATGGAGTTAGTGCACCAAAAAGAAGAAGTGGTGCGGAGAGAAGCTGTTGTGCGCAAATTAATGTGCATGTACTTTGCTAGGGTAAGCCAATCCTTGTCAGCTTCTAGTATAAGCATTCATGAGCCCCTGAGCGACCTTCATAAGCCATTCCTCTAGCCACCTCAGCATCCAGCCGAGTAGTTTACATTTATATGTTTAGTTTTTTTAACATAATTGTACAGACAATTTTATTCTGAATGTAATTAAATAAAATTTTTAAAGTTGTCATTAATTATAGCTTTTTAAATTAATATAATTACAATTAAATAAATTATTTATTACAAATATTTTTTTTAACATTTTCTAAAAATTTTAAAAAATATTAGCCCGACGAATTTCGTCCAGCCAAACATTATATTATTTTCAAATTTTGGTTACTTATAGTTGGCCCGACAACTTTTTCATCGGGTCAAATTTATAACATTATTTTATTTGATTCTGGGCAACGAAATATCCTAGTCGAGCAAGATGATTTCGTCGAGTCAATACGATCAACACATGTTTGCCCGACGAATGTATTCTTCAGTCTAACTCTATTGTGGCTGACGAAATAGATATTTCGTTGAGTAAAACTTTTAGTGACTGATTTTGTCCGACTAATCTTTCTCGATAAACTTG